GCCATAGGGTACAAGGCTTGGCAACTTTTCTAACCTTCGAAGGGCGATCGCAATACCTAATTAAGGAAAAGAGTAAGGCTGTATTATGAGGCCCCCTGAAAATATATTCCCCCCGTTCAACTGTCCTACTGAAATGGTGGTTAAAGGCTAAATACTTGATTAAGGAGTGTAAATGCGTGTTTAGTTGTGTGGGAAGTGAAGGAAAATAAATTAAAGCCACTTATAAGTGCTTTCATGAGCTAAATATAATCAAATCAACCAACATAAGCTGCTGCTGCTGCTTAGGTAACTGTTGCCCATTGACCAATAAGGATAGAAGACAATTCCTATTGGTTGGATTGTCGGAAATTTGACCTTGGGCTGGCGGAATTTATTTTCAGGTGAGCTAACGCTGGCGGAATATATTTTCAGGCAAGCCCACAAGACAGTCCAGCCAGGAAAACTTTATCGGCTTTTCGAATAGCACTGGCACCGATCAGGCTAATCACAAAGGGTTATTAAAGGTATCAACAAAAGACCAGATATGCCAAATTCTGTGCTTATCATGCAGACAAATGATTGGATCCAGAAATGGACAACCAAAGCCACAAAGATTACACAATCCAGGCTTAAGTAGGATCACCTCAACCCAATCTAACCGGGCCATGGAGTTTGAGGCCAGGTGCGAATAATGGCAATTTACACGCATTACCACAATAGTAACACTAAGCGTCTCGTGGTTGAACTGCCTCGACAGTCTTTGTGGGGAGGGAAAAAAGAATGCTAATAATTGCGTTGAAACGGTGTAATGCATAAAATCACACACGGCTCCAAGTACACACTTACTGCGACTTTCCTTCGAACCCGAGCTCTAGCTTGTCGGTTTAGGAGTCGAAATTTTTCTATTTTGTCCTTATAGCCTGCTTCTTCATGCACGGGCCAACTAGAGACATCGACGCCGTTCGAGATACAAGCCCTGTAGAGACGAAGTTCTGACGTGCTCATTGATTCCTCATTCGGTTCTGGCTTCAACACACTGGAAGCCAGGAGGCTGGTGGGATTGGATCGCATCAGCGGCTGAAAATGCATTAAAAGAAGGAATCAAAAAAGCAAAATTAACAGCTTAAAGAAGACACGAGATAGAAGGCACACCGCTTGTGAGAACCTTAAATCTGTCGACATGAGGGGTTTTTCCGGCGTAATCTGCCCGTACCTGCTGGTCTGCGTTCTACGTACAGAGACTGCATGCTCGCCAATACCGCCCCCAAGATAACTTGGATGTTCACGCGACCACCTCAGGCGAGGATGCGGAAGCTGGTAAGTACATATTCCCATTTGATATGCTTATTGCAAATATAGGATGCGTGTTTTATTAGCCAGCTATTTATACAATTATGGGAAATAATAAGTTGATGTGTCTGGCGGATTCTGGAGCATCCTGTACACGCCAAGCTAGAGTTAAACATTGTGGAGAGCCTAAAGCTAGCCTGAAACGGTTAATGGCACTACCTTGCAAAATGATAGAAATTGCGGCTATTATTTAATAACGTTTCGTTAACCTATAAGTTTACTATTTGCCCCGATATAACTTGGAACTGCATACTAGGGGCCGATTTTCTACAAGCACATTTAAGTGCTCGTTAGATAGCATGCTCCGCTTCTGTGGTACTGAAGTGCCACTAAGTACGAAGTCCCCGAACAGACAGCAGGGGGTTGACACACTCAAGTTAGATGAATGTGTTAAGAAGTTGGTCTCAGCCAGGGTAGGGAGTGCAGTAGATCCGGCGCAAAGTCTACTATCATTGAAAACTAAATCACGCGGAGTGTTCGGGCCTGCAGTGGAGAAAGCGACCAAGGCTGGATCGCGTCTCGGTCTTCTTGACTCTGTCACGACACCGGTTCCAGTAGGTGAATATAGAGAGTGCGGGAGATGATGCACAAGTCTACATCCACTTAAAAATAAATACGCGCAAGTCACCGTCCCTGCATTAACCTGTATGGAGCATATAGTGGACATCATCGAAACCGATGCCGAACCGTCAAGAACAGTTAGGAAGGATGTAGGTAAAATCGTAAGAAGTTTCGTGTCGCCCCAGGTGCGCAGAAAGCTGAGGAAAAAACGCGACGACTTACGAGTAGCAGAAGTGCGTTGCATGTATCGCACTCTCTCTCTCTCTTTCTTTCCTTGCCTGCCTGTGTCCGGTGTCAGGAAGACCAGAGACGTGATCGGACGGAGGCGGCCGGAGTTGTCAAGTCAGACTCAAATATCACGGAGAGTGCCATAAAGGCCACGGGTGGCTGGTGCCTAAGCGCGCCACCCAACGCCCCACCCCCCGCCCTCCCACCAGGTTCGGTAATTGTTATGGGTGCGCAACCCAAATAACACCTGCCATACCCTGATCGGACCCCCGTGTTGGTCCAGCGCACCTACCACGCGGCCTGTTTAGAGGGCACGGGAATGCATAAAACAAGCCAATCACTGTCCTACTCTCAAAGGTTTCAGAACTCTGTTAATCAGTGATAACTGATATGGTAAATATGTCTATAAAATCGTCCATCCGCTAGACAAAAACACTGATCAGAAGCAAACATCGCAAATAAGCCCTGTTAGCCGAACAACAGGGGAGATGCAAAATGCTTGAAATTTAAACCTACAGGGATCTACGAGGGAGTAGCGACCGTTAAGCCTGTAATGGATTACGAGTTTAGAGTCTATGTAGTGGGACAGTCGCATTAATAAGCCGACATTTCAAAAAGAACGGAGTGTACAGTCCATTGGCAAAGCCTGCGCCGCACAAAAACAGCGTCTCGGGTGCGTATCAGTCGGCTAATTTTTACCGCCTTACATGTTTTTTCAGCACATGGAACGCGGGTGATTAAGAATACGCGGTGACCCCCCTTCCCCGACGACAACAAAGATCTGACCAGGCAACCAAATACGAAGCAAAAGGAAGCTGCAGTAAGCATCTGATTTCACCCATAGAGTAAAGCATTTGGAGATACTTCGAGGCTGGCAAATTTCGCCGAGTGCATCTTGAGAACAGGCCACCGGGGGGCGATAGACAAGTAAACGTGCGTACTGAATGTCGAACTAGAAAGGAATTTGGTTGTTGTGCTTCCCTAATGCCACTACACAGGGTGGAATTAGTAAGGAAGGTAAAGTAACGAGTGCTATTAGGAATGGCTTCTTCCACAGACTGTTAACTACTAGATAGTTGAAAGAATACTAAGCATAAAAAGAGGTTGCATACATACCGTAACAACCTTCAAAGGCATCATTTGCGAAGCAACATTTGGAAGACATCGGGGGCTGGAAGAACAGTCGTTTTTATCCCGGAAGAGAGCAGAATCCGGTGGTGATATTTTCGTCGGGACCCAATCGATAATCCCACTCTAAAAAGGAATAGGAACTAACTTTCAACCAACTGTAAGTATAAAAGAGATAAGCAAAATGCTTGACATGCGACAGACCAGGGAGAAAACAAGGTTATTTCACAAAATAACTGGCATGGCTACAGTGGTCGTCATTAAATACGACAGGCTTAACCACGTAAGTACCATTAAAATCTTTCTTGAGATAAAATTCAGGAGGGTAGAATAACAAGAGTAGCAGCTGCTTTTCCTTGATATCTTCTTCAAGCGAAAACTCGACGATGAAATTGAGACGACGTACTACAGAAAGGTAATCAACGGCACACAACTTCGCAGCAACCATGCCGTGTCTCACAAACGAAAATGCGTGAGAATGTTTTTCAGATGGCTTCAGAGAGATTGCAGCACCGAGGATATGGTACGTTCTGCCATATATAAGGGACATCTCAGAAGCGACTGAGCGCATTGCTGTGGGATTAGATATTGGCCTTGCATACCGGCCCAAATATACCATGTGCAGTAGGGTGATAAGAATCAAAGACCGACTAAATCACGAAAAGTAATCCGATGTAGCGTATTTTACCTCATACATAAGCTGTCCTTGTAACTACACAGGTCAAAATGAGTGGATGCTCAGATCGCGCGTACATAAGCATATTCTGACAGTGCGACAGGACGACGAAGTATCGCAAGTTACTGCTCACATCTATGAAACGGGCCATGAGTTCAACTTCGCAGCCATCAAGATAATCGCCCAGGTTGGAAACAAGACGAGCCGAGAATGGACTGAAGCCTAGTTCACAAATGGGAACTCGATTGATCAATTTGGCGCCCCTATACAGAACACCGCGCAATCAGTTCCAGATCTATATCACCGATAATTAATTGGCTCGGACTCCTTATAATTTCCGCTGTTGCTACAGCTGTTTTCTCTGACGCTGAATTCCTGTAGAAGTTTAAAATAACAAACTGTTCCGATACTCTACCAGTTTTCTTTTTTCCTAGTGAAAATACCCGCATTGGGGATTTTTTCCACCGCGATAGATGACGAGGAGCAGTAGTTAGGTGCGCGTGCATTGGGCTAGAGTGGGGCCCACTTGAGCACCTTTCGTCCTACATTCATATCAAGGGCAAAACGGTGGTTCAGCTGTTGTACCTGATCATAAACCAAACACAGCTTGTCCTTGTGGTTGATTGCAAATTGAGGATCACGCAATCTTGTACGCAAGCGTTTGCCTGTTTCACCAGTATACCACGAAACACAATTTTGGCACTGTATGCTGTCCTCCACTGCTGAGTGCTCTGTTACTAGCAGCGATGTGAGCCACGTTGACGAAACGGGTAAACACCTGGGCACAAGAGTGCACGAACATACATCAACTTGAACTCAACCGTAAGGGCAAACTGTCTCAGGTCTATGATCACATATAACAGCTGAAACACGGTTTTGCTTTTAAGAAAGCGACATTTATCGTCAGGGTCAATGAGATGGCCAGACTAGTGCCCCAAAGTTGGTCGCCAACTGGCATCCTCAACCGAACTATAGATCTGCATTCCGCCTACCAGGCGCTTCCTATAAGACTC